GAAAAAAAAAAAAAAAAAATGCTATACGAGGCATATGCATGGGAAAACATTTAAAAGGATATTTGCCAGGACTTCCCTGGGGGCACAGTGGTTAAGAATCCGCCTGCCAATGCAGGGGACACGGGTTCGAGCCCTGGTCCGGGAAGATCCCACTGCCGCAGAGCAACTAAGCCCGTTGGCCACAACTACTGAGCCTGTGCTCTAGAACCAATGAGCTACAACTACTGAGCTCGCGTGCCACAACTACTGAAGCCTGCGTGCCTAGAGCCTGTGCCGCTCAACAAGAGAAGCCGCTGCAATGAGAAGCATGCACGCCGCAACAAAGAGTAGCCCCCGCTTGCTGCAACTAGAGAAAGCCTGAGTGCAGCCACAAAGACCCAACGCAGCCAAAAATAAATAAATATTTATTTAAAAAACAAGGATATTTGCCAAAATATGAAGAGATTATCTCCAAGTAGTGGATTATAAGTGATTCATTTTTTTCAGAGCTACCTTTGAAACTGACAGGTTTGAGCAGTAGTGTCAGAGAACATGCCTTTGTTGATTGCTTTGTTGACTGCTATTATACAATATTATTTTATTATTATACGATAGCACTTATAGCTTTCTACCCCACATCTACTTCTCTTCCTCTCCTTCCTGGAAGCTCCAATTTTATTCAGGTACCCACATTCTTCTAAGAAGCCTTTTGGTTTGGGGAGGCTAGCCCCAGTCCTAGCCCTAGAGGTAATTCCTGACTGGCCTAAGGGTAAGACTTAAGACAATCATAGTTATACCTGTCCCCTTTAAGGGTGGGCATGTGACCCCGTTCTAGACTGGGAGATATGAGAGGCCTACAAAAGGGAGGCGTCTGCCGAGCAAATTTTTTTCTGCTTGTAGATGTTGTTCTGTCAGTATGTGAAACCTAAAACTGCCCCAGTCATCTTGGACCATGAAGAGAACCAGTCTTAGAATGAGGTTATTACTGAAAATGGCAGAGTGGAGAATTAGACGGCATCTAGGTCCTTGATGGCACCATTAAGCTACTGATTATACTATGCCCAGAAACTCCTTATGTCTTTTTTCTTTTAATTAACTAATTTATTTATTTTGGGCTGTGCTGGGTCTTCGTTGCTGTGCGCGGGCTTTCTCTAGCTGCGGTGAGTGCGGGCTACTCTTCACTGCGGTGCACGGGTTTCTCATTACGGTGGCTTTTGTTTCGGAGCACCAGCTCTAGGCATGCAGGCTCAGTAGTTGTGGCGCACGGGCTTAGTTGTTCCACGGCATGTGGGATCTTTCCGGACCAGGGCTCGAAACCGTGTCCCCTGCATTGGCAGGCGGATCTCAACCACTGCGCCACCAGGGAAGCCCACTCCTTATGTCTTGATATTTTGTTGTGAGATAATGTTTCCTTACTGCTCAAGTTTATTTGAATTGGCAGTTTCTGTTACCTTCAACTAAAAACATCCTAATGATATAGCGTACCTTGGAAAAAAATAGCATAGTATAGTACAACAATCTTTGGTAGAGAATTTTGTTGTAGCATAAACTCCAGGGAGAAGGAGGGAAGAATTAGGACCTAAAGTTTATCCAAAACCAAAAATAATCTCCTAGAATTTGAGGAAGTGAGAAACTGGTAAAAATACATTTTGGTGAAGACTTCTTTGATCAGGACATGATAAAAGGAATTAGTTTTCTTCTCCATCTAATTAAATAATTATTGTTTCATGTTTTTGAAGTTTTTCTTCCAAAAAAAAAAAACTTGACTTTTGTTTGACAAATATGTTCAACATCAATCCAATTTTTGATTTCCAAAATTTTAAAGTAACTCATTCATTATTCTCTAAAATTTTACTCTTCTTTAAAATCTTCCAATGCATGTCTTTCGAAGTACACTATTGGGAAACTATTCACTATTACAACATTTTACTTTCCTATAGCTAAATCTATGAAGTAATCAAACTGTGATTCAACATAATTTGCTCATGAAATTTATATAAAGTAGGTAATTTCATAGAAATCTATCAAACAAGATGAAAAATTGATTATTTGGTTAAAAGTATTAGAGAAGTGGTTTAGCTTTAATATCTTCTTGATTTATTTTACAAGTAGTAGAAAAATCAGTTATGTGAGCTTATCTTAATTTCTTTTCCTTTCATATTCCTTAACTTCTATAACTGGCTTTTTGATAGTTGTTAGTATCAGTTACTGATTACTCCTTTTTATCATTCACACAATATATTTCGAGACCTTTGCTCAGGAAGGAAGGCTCAGATATTAATGAGCAACTTTATTATTTCAAGGTTGGGTTCTCTGCTCCTGTGAGTTTTCAGCTATTGATTTTAGCTACAGTAATTACTATATGTCTTTGTTTTTCAGAACTAGTGATATTAAAGTTTTGGCATTTGAGAATTTTAATGTTTCTGTACAATGTTCCTGGACTTGGTTTAAATGTTGAAATTTAAAACACTTGGTTAATGATCAGAAACATTTGACTTTGTCCTATGTGGCACTTCTTGATCTTTGTGCACAAGGACACACCTGACCCTTGTACCAGTTGTGTACAAATCCCACTCACTAACTGTAGTTCTGCTCTTCTGTCTCCATCTAGGAAGTGTAACCTTATAGGCATTATCTTCAAACAAAAAACAAATTATTGGGAAATACTGGCACCTTTTATCAGCAACAAGTTACTGGAACATTCCTCCTGACACTTCATGACACTACACGGACACCACATGATGCTTCATGACTCCCAGTGAAAAACATTACTCTAGTAGTTACTACAATGCACTGGGAAATAAGAAACAAAAGACCAAAAAAAAGTCATCCCCCTCATGTCGGAGAATAACCCTTGTTGGCGCAATAACTTAACCTCTCCATGCCTAAGTTCTCCCTACACACAAAATGAAAGTTACAAGTTCTCATGAAAATGTCTGGAAGTTTAACATTATTATTTTGGGGGAATTCCCTGGCAGCCCAATGGTTAGGACTCCACGCTTTCACTGCAGAGGGCGCAGGTTCAATCCCTGGCTGGGGAACTAAGATCCTGCAAGCCGTGCAGCATGGCCGAACCCCCCCAAAAAACAACAGCAAAAAACCCATTACTGCTTTGAGAGCTTCAATTCAATAAGATAGGATGGGAGGGCCTGGCAAAATAGGGAATCAACTGTGGAGGGCCTGGAATCACAGGCCGCAGAGTTGGACCTTCACATAAGGGAGACTTGGGAAGATTACTGAACAGGGTAGTAGCATAATCATCAATACCTGTGTCTTAGGAGGAAAACTGGCAGCAGTGTATAGAATGGTGAGAGAGAGATGGAACTAAGAAAAGTTATGAGAGTATTGCAGAGGGCCAGACCAGGGTGGGGGGGAGATAAATTAAGAGTTTGGGATTAACATATATGCAATACTATATATAGAATAGATAAACAAGGACCTACTGTATAGCACAGGGAACTATATTCAGTATCTTGTAGTAACCTATAATGGAAAAGAATCTGAAAAAGAATATATATATACATGTATATATATATAAAACTTAATCACTTTGCTGTACACCTGAAACTAATACAACATTGTAAATTAACTCTACTTCAGCTTTTTTTAATGGTTTTTAAGAAACGGGCCAGACAAGAGATGCTGAGGGTAATTGCTGTGGAAGGGGGTTAGGAGGAGGAATGAGACCAGTTTAAAAGGTAATGGCGGGCTTCCCTGGCGGCGCAGTGGTTGAGAGTCCGCCTGCCGATGCAGGGGACACGGGGTCGTGCCCCGGTCTGGGAAAATCCCACATGCCGCGGAGCGGCTGGGCCCGTGAGCCATGGCCACAGAGCCTGCGCATCCGGAGCCTGTGCTCCGCAACGGAAGAGGCCACAACAGTGAGAGACACGCGAACTGCAAAAAAAAAAAAAAAAAAGAGGTAATGGCACATGATAAATTACAGATGTAATAGGATTTGGTTACTAAATGGTGTAACGAGTGAGGGAGAGGAAGGAAGGACTTGAATGGGACTTAGGTTTCTGGCCTGAACATCTGAAGATACTGATGCCATTAACTGAATGGGAGTACAGGATTGCTTGTTTGTGCGTGTGTGTAATAGAAAAAGTGGGGCAGGGGGTAAGGAATGATTTTTGTCTTGTCTCAAGTGCCTGTGGACACCCGTGTGGTGCTCTACAACTGGACAGTTAGAGTATGCCTGGGGACATTTCTTGGTATAAAGAAAAGGAATACTCTTGTAATGTGAACAGCTCATTTACATAGTGCTCAACCATTAGCGCCCCAAACCCTGAGATAGTTATTGCCTCACTAGCAGTAAAAGCTTGATTACAGCCCCTAACTGATGACGGTGTAAAGGGCCTGGGTTCCCACAACTTCTACGGGCAAAATATTAATTGTGATTAATTATCGTGTGGCACTATACAAAGACTAGATGATTTACTGTGGCTTCCGGAGGGCGCTTGCTTGGTTTTTCGCCGCAGCCCTCAGAGAACGGGAACTGGACAGCTCCCCAGGTGGCCTTCGGCCCTTCTGGGATCAGAGCCGCCCAGCAGCGAGCTGTCTCCAGACACGTGAGCCTGGGCCTTCGGGCCCACTCGGCCAAGGGTGCTTCGACCTTGGGCGGAGGGCACTTCCTTCCTTCTTCCGCGCTCTCGGACCCCGGCCCCGTCGGGTCGGGCGGGGCGGGGCTGCTCCGAGGCCCCGCCGCCGGCCCCGCCCCGCTTGCCGGCCGCCGCCGGCTCTCTCCGGCCCGTGGTGCGGTGCGCGCCTGCGCTAGCCCTCGCCTCGGAGCAGCCATGATGGTGGGTGTCCGCGGCGCCGAGCCCCGGGCGCGCGGTGGGGGCGGCGGGCGCGGGGCGGGTGCGGGGGCCGCGCCGGCCTGACACTAATGTCTCTCCTTGTGTCCCCCCCACTCCATCCTTTCCCCGGCGCGCCGGGCCCCGCCGACCTCGCAGGAAGGCCTGGACGACGGCCCCGACTTCCTCTCGGAGGAGGACCGCGGAGTAAGTTCTGCCTCCTTTTGGCTAGCGGGACCCTCCCTCCCCCGCCTTGGTCCAGGGGTGTGGTACGGGAGGGGGGTGTCTCCGGCCGCGCGGCACCCCCTCCCCGCCGGCCTCCTTTCGATTTCCTCGCCTCAGCGCGCCCCGCCCTCCTGCAGCCCTTCCTCCCTTGGGGCCGTTCGGTTCTGATTTCCCGGGGACCCGCGGCCGCTCTTGGACCCCGCCGCGGCTCCGACTCTTCGGTGGACCTCCTTCCCCGCCCGGTCCGGGTGCAGGTGGGGAAGTGGAGGTGGAGGCCGGAGCTGGACACCCGCCGCCACCAAGTTGGGGGCTATGAAAACCCATTGTCAGACCTTCCTGCCGGCACCTTCAGTTTCCCCTTGGGGACCTCTCGAACCCGCCCTCGCCCACCCTTCTTTCCCTCTAAAACATTATAGTACGGGCTTGTTCTAAATTACCCTTTTGCACGGGATTTTACAGTCGCCGAATCTAAACTGTTCTCCAGTATCCTACCGGATTTTGTAAAGTGCTGGTAGTCCACAGTACCTTTACTTTTCCTAATGTCCAAAGAAATACATCTTTTGCAGAGATCCCTTGGTGGTGATTTGAGGCAATGCATTTCAGTTCAGAAAGGGCCTTCAAGGCTGTGATTCCTCCCTCCCACGCTCTACCCCCATTTACCTTGGCCGAAGGGTAGTAATCTGTATAGTGCCTTGTACAAGTGAGCACTTGAAAAATACTGATACATGATGATTGCAGCTCAGCAACGTTCCATGGTTCCTTCACATTTAACAGTTTGCACTTTAGTTTTCCATTTTGCTTTTACTTATTTATCTTAGACAATGTGAGAGACACGTCATTTAGTCGATTTTGGGCAGGTGATAAAATATTCTTATAGGATGTTATTCCTGTTTTTTTTAAATAAGAGATAAGGTAGTTAGTATTAACTGATGACCTTTATAAAGCTTTAAAATGGTAAGAAAGGTGCAGAAGGTGCTGCATATTTTTATAAACGATGAACTAATAAATTCCTCAGTTTACAGAAAAGCATCATTTACAATTACTAGTTAGCATGAAAGCATCATGTAGGATTTCTGGTTATTTCTTAAAATTTTAGGTTCTAATGAATTTTAAGACAAAGTGCATGTGTATGAATGTGTATATATGTATCTTCTGGGGTAGGTGAATCATAGTAATAGTCATCTGGGCACTATGTTAGCACTGTATAAGCATTGTTTCATTATATCCTCTTATCATCCTTGTGAAACTTTTAGTATCCCCCGTTTACAGATGAGAAATCTGAACCTCAGAGAAACTAAGTAAGTAGTCTGAAGTCACACAGCCAGTGAGTGAGAGAGGTGGACTTTAAACCATGTTGCAGACATCAAAGCCAGTGCACATATTTCTCAAAGTCGCCTTGAAACACTTGCATCAGAATCACCTGGGGTGTTTGAAAAACTAAAGTCAAAAGTTTCTGAGCCCACCCTCTAGTAAATCAATCTCTTGAGGTAGGGAGGACAGATAAGTACTTTGTTAACAAGCAAGAAGACTCCATTGTACACTGAAGTCTGATTATGGCTGCACAAAGTTATCCTGCTCTTTCCTCATTTCAGGAACAGAAATTTCAGGCCTGTTTAAATTTCCTTATATTGTGTTTGTCCTGATAGAAATAGATGGCCATAAATAGATTAGATCTTTTAGGCATTGCACTTTTAGTTTAGATTGTCTTGTTCAGCCTTTTAAGAAAGTCTTGATAGAGAAAAAGCATGCAGTACATATTTGATACAAATTGTAGGGGGGACATCACAGATTCAAAAATAATAATGCAAGCCTTTCATTCAAAGCAGTAAGTAAGCAAAATTAAAGATAGCATTTTTAAATACATTTTTAAGCAGCCTTAAATTTTCATTATGATATTTGGAACAGAAGAGAGTCTTACAGCCTTAAGAATATACTGTTTTGTAAGAAACTTAAAAAGCAAACTTCAAGAATACACAATATTGAAAATTATTGGCCACTTTTTGATCTCTTCGGTTACACCTCTGCATAGTAGGGTATTTTTTTCTTTCCCAAAGGAAGGACAGTAACATATTATTTAGTAAACAAATGAGCCCTTTGAACTGGACACATTTTGCTCTGATGTGCTTGTTAAATAGAGCAGTACATGCCAGCATGATGGCGTAATTCTCTTAGCATTTGATTTGAATTCTAAATAATATGTTTATTGTTTTCAGAATTACTTCAGGTGGAGGAAGTGCACCTCTCCTGGACTCCTAGCCTTGCTCCTCCCTCTTATTCCTTATCTTCATTAATGTCATCATTTCCAGTCCTTCATGCAATGAAGCTTCTGAATCATAACCTTCATCCCCATACCAGAACAGTCACTGAGGCCAGATAATTTCACCTCAGAAATGTTGTTAGCCCATCTTTCATTTATATGGCCGCAGTTAAGTTCCCTGTATCTCTTGCCTGGACTGTAGCAGTATCTGTCATTGGTCTATCTCCAGGTTCTCTACTTTCCAGTCCAGACTGCACATGACTGGTAGTTACCTAACTGAAATGATTAGATCATATGGCACCAATAGTCACAAGGACTTACGGGGACCCAGTTCTTTTTGCAGTAAGGTCCAAACTCCTTATGCTAGCATTGAACACTTCATCACCCTTCCTGGCTGACTTCATTTCTCAAGATGCCCCTGCCCCATACACACACACACACACACACACACACACACACACACACACACAATAGGCATATTCTAGTCTACTTGTCATTGCCCAACCACTTCTGCACTTGAATGTCTGCTTTATGTATGCTTCTCAGTGTTGTGGAGTGTTTTTTTTTTCCCCTCACCTTTTTTTTCACATGAAATTTGACTTACCTTTTAAGACTTGGCCCAGATGTTTGCATTTTCTTTTGTACCTACTCAGCATTTAGCTTGAACATATTCCACATTTATTGATAGCTATTTCCAATAAAAACGTGACATAGATTTGGTTGGCAAAGGATAAGATGAATGTTGGCAGAGGAAGAAGAGAAAGTTCCTGCCCTGGGGCCATGGCAGTGTAGTGAGGAGCTTACCTGTGAAGTGCCGTGTGAGTACGAAGGAGAATGAAGACATAATGGTAACTACACACTGATGTTTGCTGCATACTAGGGACTTTCCACACATCAACTCAATTCTCAAATCCCTGTGAAGTAACTGCTACTATTATTCCTACTTTGGAAAGGAAAAGTGAGGTTCAGAGAAATTAAATAACTTGCCCTGGTTCATACAGCCAGTATGAGCTGTATTCAAACTCAGGGAGTCTAGCTATAGGTACTGGGCTGTTAACCACTGTGCTGTTGCCTACAGGAGCTAAGCCTTAAATGTTGATTGTGTAGGCTCCCAGGGATGGGGAAGGCTTGCCAGCAGAGAGGATAACGTGTAGGTAGGTCATTAGGTTCCACCTGGAGCACTTTTTCTTACTGGAAGCAGGAGTAGATATGGGTAATACAGATAAAGTGCATAATGTGGGAAGTCCTGAGGGGTCACCAGCTAGGAAGGACATATGCCCAGATGAAAATAGCGTTGTAGATGACTCCGATGTGGAAGGTGGATTGCTTCTTCCTTGCAGAAAGCAGAGAAACCTGTTACCAGGCTTTTGCGGCAGTCCAGATGAGAAATGTTAAAGGTAGAACTAAGGCAGTGGAAGAAGGGATGAAGGAGGGGACATAGCAGAGAGATGTTCAGGAGATAGAATGCACAGGGCATAGTGGCTGAATAAATACACGTGCTAGACAGAGGAGAAGGAGATGAGGAATATACGAGAGAATAGCAGAGTTAGAAGGTAGTTAATAAGTTTGGTTTTCAGATATGTTGGATTTGAAATGCCTGTCAAGTGTCTAATCCCTTCCGTGCCAAACTAGAAAGTAAGATCTGAAAGGGTGAAGATTGTGTCCTTTCATTGCTCTATCGCAAGCACATCTGACAGTGGTTGGCACGTTGAAGGCACTCAGTTGTTTAATAAGTAAATATATCCAGGTGGATATGTCTAGTTAGTAACTTGAAATTATGATTGGGAACTTAGAATAAGAGGTGTGAGTTGAAGGTATAAATTTCAGAGTTATTAGTCAAGAATGGCTGAGTTTGCCAACGCTAGATAGTACCCAGTGGGAAACAGCATTCACAGGCCAAGGAGAAGAAATGGACTAACTGATGGGGCTGAGATGAGTGGGGAGAAAATGAAAAGAGTCCCCAGAAGTTGAGAGAGTTTTAAGGACATGGTCAGAATGATCATTGAGGCAAAATACCAAAGAGAGATCAAGAAGCCTGCAAAGTATTGGATTTGGAAATTAGGTCCTCACTGTGTGGAAGTGTTGTGGGACCAGGGCTAACTTGACTAGAAGAGCAGTGTACAAGCAGGTTCTAGAGCAAACAGGAAGATTACCTGCTCAGGTAGCCGGAGAGCTCTGCTCTCCATGGGACACCACTCCTTCTGAGAAGGCAGAGGAGATGGTGAGTACAGATCTATTTATAGAAAGGCTTATTGATGGGTCTGAGGGAAAACAGCTGCTAGTGTTTATTTCTTGGGGATGTGGGAGACAGGGTCACTTGTTGAGCATAGGGGTGGAAATAGTAGTTGAGATAGTAAAGCTTTGGAGTGGTTGCTCAGGGAATCAGAAGAGGAGCTGAGCAGATCGGCCCTGGACTGTTGAATGGTTTTAAGAGTCTAATGCAGTTGGGAGAGCAATAATTTGTAGTGGACAAGCACAGACAGTTTTGACTTTTCTCTAGCCACACTCAGCTCAAAAAAGCAAAGAAAGTTGATGATTGAATTGATCCTACATGTGGGAATTTGCAAGCCAAGTACAGTGAAAGAGCAATGGGAGTTGACAAGACCAGCAAGAAAGGCATTGGAGTGACATCATGCAACTCTAGTAATGTTTTGTTATTTCTAGTATGATGGGTGGAAGGGAATCTAGTTTCCGGAAAGTATATGTATAATCAACCATTGATTTG